GTACATGTACATGTAGACCAGGAATAGTCTCACAATACATGTACTTAACTGATTCTATAGAAATTAAGTTAAATGTGTCATTATTATGAGCAACAACCTACCAATAAGACACATGCATGTACATGTAATGGGTATGACATAGTTTTGTACATGTACATGTTTTTGAGAAATGAAACATGTACAAAGTTTACCAATACATACAAGTACATACCAGTACACATACCAAGTGTACTGTGTACATCAGTGTGGCTCACTTCAGCTGTGAGGGACTGTACTGTACATGCATAAGAGTACATAAGAGGAACAATAGTAACCTAATAGTGGGATACAACTACCATGCATTAATATACACATTATACACTATAAGCTATTGCTACATACAGTGGAACCTCCCATAACGGACCCTCCCAGGAGCGGTCAGCCTCTATATAACGGACAAACTTAAAAGCATGAACAATACAGTACTACATACAGTATAATAACATCAGTTCAATAAACTAATAAATACATTACCTGAGTGTACTCTCAGTAGGGTGGCAGTGTCACCAGAAACATAATCAAGAGTAGTCCTACCAGTCTATACAAGGTAAACATTGATTAACATGATAGTACAATGTTATCACAATCAAACTAAAAACCAACTTTAATTGTTGGTCTGTCTTCAATACTCCATAGTATTGAGTAGGTTAGAGACAGTGGAGGTACATTTAGTGTACAAGTATACATTTTACTGATATAAATAATTACATGTACAATACTACTAGTCTACATGTACATGTACATGTATATTTACACTGTTGCAGTATCAATAAAATGTTCTTGGTTATAGCCATAAACTCAGTTACTATACATGTAGATTGAGAAACCTTCATGACTAGGATAATAATTTTCAAATGCAAAAATTGAATAATTTTTAATGCAAAAATTAAGTTGATGTCAATACAGACACTGACCACAAGGGACCATAGTGTCCTAGTGGGAGGTGTCTGTAAATCAGATACTGTCCCAGTAGGTAAGTGATATAATTACATCAATTTGAGTGGGTGGATCACATTATATATTCATGCACAGTATAACTACATTCTAAGTATGTCCTCCATACCAAAGAAAATGTCAATGCCCACTGGCCTCTTGTAAGTCTATCTGACATTATTATACTATTATACATGTAACATTATAAAGTATTACCATGTAGAAATGTAATTGTTTTGAAACGTTAAATTTTGAAAAACGCTACACAAAGCAAAAGTTTCATATGAATTTTTAACAATTTACAAAAATTTCTTTTGATACTTTATTAAAAATTATTGAGTATTTCTATTTTTTAGTTTTCAAAATTTCAAAAATTAAAAATCAAATGGTCATTACCATCAAAAATTCAAAATTTTTCTGTACTCAAAATTCATGAGAATCAACACCCAAAAATAAATTCCAAAATTTCAATTTTTAAAATATTTCTTACTCAATTTTTAATATTACATTTAAAAAAAGTTCAGGCCACAAAAGTTTCTCGCTTTACTAAAATAAAATATTATTGAAGTAAAATAATTATTTTAATTAAAAATGCTTTTTTCCATAAAGTGATACAGTAGAGTACATTAAGCTATACATGTACATGTACACACACTGTATGAGATATACAGCACCTGCGGTTACTTTGATCCACCCACTCAAAAGGATATACATGTACAATCACTATTGGAGTATAATTAATGATTATACTTACATCATCAGAGGCAGTGACATCTGCTCCTTTTTCAAGGAGCATTGTCACTACCTGTGTTCTTTCATTATAAGCTGCTAGCATGAGAGGAGTCCATTGATCCTATAAAAAGAAGACAGGATAATAAAGACACTAACACTACACAGTCAAGCGTCATATCATGTTGTGTACTGTAGTAGTCTAATATAATAATAATGTTAATACTCATTATAATGTGTTATAAACAAAATGAACATTTATTAATTTTTACACAGAA